TCCTCCCTCAGTTCCTCCCTCAGTCCCTCCCTCAGTTCCTCCCTCAGTTCCTCCCTCAGTTCCTCCCTCAGTTCCTCTCTCAGTTCCTCCCTCAGTTCCTTCCTCCCTCAGTTCCTCCCTCAGTTCCTCCCTCAGTTCCTCCCTCAGTTCCTCCCTCAGTTCCTCCCTCAGTTCCTCCCTCAGTTCCTCCCTCAGTTCCTCCCTCAGTTCCTCCCTCTGTTTCTCCCTCAGTTCCTCCCTCAGTTCCTCCCTCAGTTCCTCCCTCAGTTTCTCCCTCAGTTCCTCCCTCAGTTCCTCCCTCAGTTCCTCCCTCAGTTCCTTCCTCCCTCAGTTCCTCCCTCAGTTCCTCCCTCAGTTCCTCCCTCAGTTCCTCCCTCAGTTCCTGCCTCAGTTCCTCCCTCAGTTCCTCCCTCAGTTCCTCCCTCTGTTTCTCCCTCAGTTCCTCCCTCAGTTCCTCCCTCAGTTCCTCCCTCAGTTTCTCCCTCAGTTCCTCCCTCAGTTCCTCCCTCAGTTCCTCCCTCAGTTCCTCCCTCAGTTCCTTCCTCCCTCAGTTCCTCCCTCAGTTCCTCACTCAGTTCCTCCCTCAGTTCCTCTCTCAGTTCCTCCCTCAGTTCCTCCCTCAGTTCCTCCCTCAGTTCCTCCCTCAGTTCCTTCCTCCCTCAGTTCCTCCCTCAGTTCCTCACTCCTCAGTTCCTCCCTCAGTTCCTCCCTCAGTTCCTCCCTCCGTTCCTCCCTCAGTTTCTCCCTCAGTTCCTCCCTCAGTTCCTCCCTCAGTTCCTTCCTCCCTCAGTTCCTCCCTCAGTTCCTTCCTCCCTCAGTTCCTTCCTCCCTCAGTTCCTCCCTCAGTTCCTTCCTCCCTCAGTTCCTCCCACAGTTCCTCCTTCAGTTCCTCCCTCAGTTCCTCCCTCAGTTCCTCCCTCAGTTCCTCCCTCAGCTCCTTCCTCCCTCAGTTCCTCCCTCAGTTCCTCCCTCTGTTTCTCCCTCAGTTCCTCCCTTAGTTCCTCCCTCAGTTCCTTCCTCCCTCAGTTCCTCCCTCAGTTCCTTCCTCCCTCAGTTCCTCCCTCAGTTCCTCCCACAGTTTCTCCCTCAGTTCCTCCCTCAGTTCCTCCCTCAGTTCCTCCCTCAGTTCCTCCCTCAGTTCCTTCCTCCCTCAGTTCCTTCCTCCCTCAGGTTCCTCCCTCAGTTCCTCCCTCAGTTCCTCCTTCAGTTCCTCCCTCAGTTCCTCCCTCAGTTCCTCCTTCAGTTCCTCCCTCAGTTCCTCCCTCAGTTCCCCCTCAGTTCCTCCCTCAGTTTCTCCCTCAGTTCCTCCCTCAGTTCCTCCCTCAGTTCCTCCCTCAGTTCCTCCCTCAGTTTCTCCTTCAGTTCCTCCCTCAGTTTCTCCCTCAGTTCCTCCCTCAGTTCCTCCCTCAGTTCCTCCCTCAGTCCCTCCCTCAGTTCCTCCCTCAGTTCCTCCCTCAGTTCCTCCCTCAGTTCCTCTCTCAGTTCCTCCCTCAGTTCCTTCCTCCCTCAGTTCCTCCCTCAGTTCCTCCCTCAGTTCCTCCCTCAGTTCCTCCCTCAGTTCCTCCCTCAGTTCCTGCCTCAGTTCCTCCCTCAGTTCCTCCCTCAGTTCCTCCCTCTGTTTCTCCCTCAGTTCCTCCCTCAGTTCCTCCCTCAGTTCCTCCCTCAGTTTCTCCCTCAGTTCCTCCCTCAGTTCCTCCCTCAGTTCCTCCCTCAGTTCCTTCCTCCCTCAGTTCCTCCCTCAGTTCCTCCCTCAGTTCCTCCCTCAGTTCCTCCCTCAGTTCCTCCCTCAGTTCCTCCCTCAGTTCCTCCCTCAGTTCCTCCCTCAGTTCCTCCCTCTGTTTCTCCCTCAGTTCCTCCCTCAGTTCCTCCCTCAGTTCCTCCCTCAGTTTCTCCCTCAGTTCCTCCCTCAGTTCCTCCCTCAGTTCCTCCCTCAGTTCCTTCCTCCCTCAGTTCCTCCCTCAGTTTCTCCTTCAGTTCCTCCCTCAGTTTCTCCCTCAGTTCCTCCCTCAGTTCCTCCCTCAGTTCCTCCCTCATTCCCTCCCTCAGTTCCTCCCTCAGTTCCTCCCTCAGTTCCTCCCTCAGTTCCTCTCTCAGTTCCTCCCTCAGTTCCTTCCTCCCTCAGTTCCTCCCTCAGTTCCTCCCTCAGTTCCTCCCTCAGTTCCTCCGTCAGTTTCTCCCTCAGTTCCTCCCTCTGTTTCGCCCTCAGTTCCTCCCTCAGTTCCTTCCTCCCTCAGTTCCTTCCTCCCTCAGTTCCTCCCTCGGTTCCTCCCTCAGTTCGTCACTCCTCAGTTCCTCCCTCAGTTCCTCACTCCTCAGTTCCTCCCTCAGTTCCTCCCTCAGTTCCTCCCTCAGTTCCTTCCTCCCTCAGTTCCTCCCGCAGTTCCGTCCTCCCTCAGTTCCTCCCTCAGTTCCTCCCACAGTTTCTCCCTCAGTTCCTCCCTCAGTTCCTCCCTCAGTTCCTCCCTCAGTTCCTCCTTCAGTTCCTCCCTCAGTTCCTCCCTCAGTTCCTCCCTCAGTTCCTTCCTCCCTCAGTTCCTCCCACAGTTTCTCCCTCAGTTCCTCCCTCAGTTCCTCCCTCAGTTCCTCCCTCAGTTCTTCCCTCAGTTCCTCCCTCAGTTCCTCCTCAGTTCCTCCCTCAGTTTCTCCCTCAGTTTCTCCCTCAGTTCATCCCTCAGTTTCTCCCTCAGTTCCTCCCTCAGTTCCTCCCTCAGTCCCTCCCTCAGTTCCTCCCTCAGTTACTCCCTCAGTTTCTCCCTCAGTTCCTCCCTCAGTTCCTCCCTCAGTTCCTCCCTCAGTTCCTCCCTCAGTTTCTCCTTCAGTTCCTCCCTCAGTTTCTCCCTCAGTTCCTCCCTCAGTTCCTCCCTCAGTTCCTCCCTCAGTCCCTCCCTCAGTTCCTCCCTCAGTTCCTCCCTCAGTTCCTCCCTCAGTTCCTCTCTCAGTTCCTCCCTCAGTTCCTTCCTCCCTCAGTTCCTCCCTCAGTTCCTCCCTCAGTTCCTCCCTCAGTTCCTCCCTCAGTTTCTCCTTCAGTTCCTCCCTCAGTTTCTCCCTCAGTTCCTCCCTCAGTTCCTCCCTCAGTTCCTCCCTCATTCCCTCCCTCAGTTCCTCCCTCAGTTCCTCCCTCAGTTCCTCCCTCAGTTCCTCTCCCAGTTCCTCCCTCAGTTCCTTCCTCCCTCAGTTCCTCCCTCAGTTCCTCCCTCAGTTCCTCCCACAGTTTCTCCCTCAGTTCCTCCCTCAGTTCCTCACTCCTCAGTTCCTCCCTCAGTTTCTCCCTCAGTTCCTCCTCCCTCAGTTCCTCCCTCAGCTCCTTCCTCCCTCAGTTTCTCCCTCAGTGCCTCCCTCAGTTCCTCCCTCAGTTCCTCCCTCAGTTCCTTCCTCCCTCAGTTCCTCCCTCAGTTCCTCCCTCAGTTCCTCCCTCAGTTCTTCCCTCAGTTCCTCCCTCAGTTCCTCCTCAGTTCCTCCCTCAGTTTCTCCCTCAGTTTCTCCCTCAGTTCATCCCTCAGTTTCTCCCTCAGTTCCTCCCTCAGTTCCTCCCTCAGTCCCTCCCTCAGTTCCTCCCTCAGTTACTCCCTCAGTTTCTCCCTCAGTTCCTCCCTCAGTTCCTCCCTCAGTTCCTCCCTCAGTTCCTCCCTCAGTTTCTCCTTCAGTTCCTCCCTCAGTTTCTCCCTCAGTTCCTCCCTCAGTTCCTCCCTCAGTTCCTCCCTCAGTCCCTCCCTCAGTTCCTCCCTCAGTTCCTCCCTCAGTTCCTCCCTCAGTTCCTCTCTCAGTTCCTCCCTCAGTTCCTTCCTCCCTCAGTTCCTCCCTCAGTTCCTCCCTCAGTTCCTCCCTCAGTTCCTCCCTCAGTTCCTCCCTCAGTTCCTCCCTCAGTTCCTCCCTCAGTTCCTCCCTCAGTTCCTCCCTCTGTTTCTCCCTCAGTTCCTCCCTCAGTTCCTCCCTCAGTTCCTCCCTCAGTTTCTCCCTCAGTTCCTCCCTCAGTTCCTCCCTCAGTTCCTCCCTCAGTTCCTTCCTCCCTCAGTTCCTCCCTCAGTTCCTCCCTCAGTTCCTCCCTCAGTTCCTCCCTCAGTTCCTGCCTCAGTTCCTCCCTCAGTTCCTCCCTCAGTTCCTCCCTCTGTTTCTCCCTCAGTTCCTCCCTCAGTTCCTCCCTCAGTTCCTCCCTCAGTTTCTCCCTCAGTTCCTCCCTCAGTTCCTCCCTCAGTTCCTCCCTCAGTTCCTCCCTCAGTTCCTTCCTCCCTCAGTTCCTCCCTCAGTTCCTCACTCAGTTCCTCCCTCAGTTCCTCTCTCAGTTCCTCCCTCAGTTCCTCCCTCAGTTCCTTCCTCCCTCAGTTCCTCCCTCAGTTCCTCCCTCAGTTCCTCCCTCAGTTCCTCCCTCAGTTCCTCCCTCAGTTCCTCCCTCAGTTCCTCCCTCTGTTTCTCCCTCAGTTCCTCCCTCAGTTCCTCCCTCAGTTCCTCCCACAGTTTCTCCCTCAGTTCCTCCCTCAGTTCCTCACTCCTCAGTTCCTCCCTCAGTTCCTCCCTCAGTTCCTCCCTCAGTTCCTCCCTCAGTTCCTCCCTCAGTTCCTCCCTCAGTTCCTCCCTCAGTTCCTTCCTCCCTCAGAGTGGGCGGTGCAGCGTATGAGCGGGCGGTGCAGCGTATGAGCGGGTGGTGCAGCGTATGAGCGGGCGGTGTAGCGTATGAGCGGGCGGTGCAGCGTATGAGCGGGCCGTGCAGCGTATGTGCGTGCGGTGCAGTGTATGGGCGTGCGGTGCAGTGTATGGGCGTGCGTGCAGGTGCTCACTCCCTTGCATCCCCTCACACCCCTACACGCCCTTGCATCCCCTTCACGCCCTTTCATCCCCTTCACACCCCCAAACGCCTCTCCATACTAGCTCGTTACTGTCACCAAGCCCTCGCTCTCTCACTCAGACCTCGCGCCCTTCCATATCGCCTCATTCCACCTTCCTGCCTCTCCATCCCCTTATTCCCGTACCATCCCCGCCGTCCATCCCTGCCAATCCCCTCCCAGAGGGCGAGCTGGCTCGCAAGGCGGTAGCGGAGTTCGTGCACGGCAACAGGCTGCCGCTCTTTGTGCACATGGGCGATGCTGCTGCTGAGGAATTCGGGAAAAACACCAAGTGGCATGTGAGCTATGGGGTGGCAGTGCGTGGGGGGCGAACAGAGCTTGTGAGGGAGTGGAGGGGCGCACAGGGCTTGTGAGCAGAGAAGGATAATGATTCACAAAAGTGGCTGGATGGTTTGCCATGTCGCCTCCCATGCCTACCCTTGCTAATGGCTTATCCAATCACACCTTTCATTCGCCCACGCCTCCCCTCCGCCCATGCCTCTCCACCGCCCACGCCTCCCCTCCGCCCATGCGTCCCTCCCCCCCTTGACAGATCGTGATCTTCTGCCCGCGCACCGACTACCCTCACTTTGAGGAGTCTCTCACTCCCCTGGCCAGGCAGCACGTGGGCAAGGTGAGCACGTGGGCAAGGTGAGCACGTGGATAAGGGGTGGGATGCAATGAATCGCATGCAAGAATAAACCCCTGCTCCATCCCATCCCATGTACCGCAGCTTATCCGTTGCTGACATGCATGCCTTGCAAACATGCCCTGCACACATGCCCTTCATGCATTCCCTGCATCCCCCCCCATTCCCAGCAGGTGTTTTTTTTTTTTTTTTTTTTTTTTTTTTTTTTTTTGATATTGATTAGTATATACCAGGACACAAGCATACACCATCAAACGGTCGTAACCGTGCGTGAGGCAACAGTAAAGCGGGTTACTGTTCCAGGTGAGCTGTCTAGGGCGAGTTGCTGCATGCCCTCCTCTTGGACCAGAGTGCGGCGAACGCGCTTGTCCCCAACAGGTGTTCTTCATAATGGTGGACTCCAGCGATGAGGACACATGGGGGCAGCCCATGGACTAGTTCGCTCGTTCCCATGCACACCACCTCACCCCTCCCTTGCCTGCATGTTCTGCATGCCCAGCACTCCCTACACACCCCATCAGGTGTTCTTCATGGTGGTGGACTCCAGGGATGAGGACACATCGGGGCAGCCCATGGACTACTCTGCTATCTCCCATGCCCAGCATCCCGACCCCTCCCTACTTGCCTGCATGCCCCCCATCCCTGCAGGTGTTCTTCATGGTGGTGGACTCCAGGGATGAGGACACATCAGAGCAGCCCATGGACTACTTTGGAATCCGAGAGGGCGAGACTGCCGTGCTGGCTGTGCTCTTTCAAATGCATGGCACCTCCCCCCCTTTGCACGCACGTGCTGCACATGCGCCCTGCATGCCCCCCTGCAGGTGTTCTTCATGGTGGTGGACTCGAGTGACGAGGACACATCAGGCCAGCCCATGGACTACTTTGGCATCCACGAGGGCGAGACGGCCGTGCTGGCTGTGCTCTCATACACGGAGGAGGGCGAGCATCACGAGACCAAGCACCGCCTCGCAGGGGAACCTACTCTTTCTAACATGCAGGTGCGCTCGCCTGCTTGTGTGCCTGGCATTCACTTATGCGAAACCTTACAAGACAATGGTGTGGGCTGTTTTCTCCCACACCCAAGTGGAGAGCATCACGAGGCCAAGCACCGCTTGCCAGGGGAACCCACCCCTGCCAACGTGCAGGTGTGCCTGTCTGCACGCTCATGTGCCTGTCTGCACGCTCATGTGCCTGTCTGCACGCTCATGTGCCTGTCTGCACGCTCATGTGCCTGTCTGCACGCACATGTGCCTGTCTGCACGCTCATGTGCCTGTCTGCACGCTCATGTGCCTGTCTGCACGCTCATGTGCCTGTCTGCACGCTCATGTGCCTGTCTGCACGCTCATGTGCCTGTCTGCACGCTCATGTGCCTGTCTGCACGCTCATGTGCCTGTCTGCACGCTCATGTGCCTGTCTGCACGCTCATGTGCCTGTCTGCACGCTCATGTGCCTGTCTGCACCCTCATGTGCCTGTCTGCACGCTCATGTGCCTGTCTGCACGCTCATGTGCCTGTCTGCACGCTCATGTGCCTGTCTGCACGCTCATGTGCCTGTCTGCACGCTCATGTGCCTGTCTGCACGCTCATGTGCCTGTCTGCACGCTCATGTGCCTGTTTGCACGCTCATGTGCCTGTCTGCACGCTCATGTGCCTGTCTGCACGCTCATGTGCCTGTCTGCACGCTCATGTGCCTGTCTGCACGCTCATGTGCCTGTCTGCACGCTCATGTGCCTGTCTGCACGCTCATGTGCCTGTCTGCACGCTCATGTGCCTGTCTGCACGCTCATGTGCCTGTCTGCACGCTCATGTGCCTGTCTGCACGCTCATGTGCCTGTCTGCACGCTCATGTGCCTGTCTGCACGCTCATGTGCCTGTCTGCACGCTCATGTGCCTGTCTGCACGCTCATGTGCCTGTCTGCACGCTCATGTGCCTGTCTGCACGCTCATGTGCCTGTCTGCACGCTCATGTGCCTGTCTGCACGCTCATGTGCCTGTCTGCACGCTCATGTGCCTGTCTGCACGCTCATGTGCCTGTCTGCACGCTCATGTGCCTGTCTGCACGCTCATGTGCCTGTCTGCACGCTCATGTGCCTGTCTGCACGCTCATGTGCCCTGCACACCCTGCTTGCTCCCCACCACATGCTCCGCCATGTCCTGCCAAGTGCCTCCTTGGAACGCAACTCACTCGTCCCCTTTCTCCCTTCTCTCCTTCCTCTCTCCCACCCTGTGGTGCCCCCTCGCCTAACCAGGAATTCATAACAGCCTTCTTGGCAGGTGAACTGCCGCCCTACTACAAGTCCGACCCTGTGCCTGACCAGGTGCGTGGTCCCATGGCCCGTGGGGCAGGTGTGTGTGGCAGGGAAGGTGAGTGCTGTGCGCACGTGCATGGTGAATGCTGTTGAAGAGTTGTCAAGAGTCCTACTTGGCAGGTGAACTGCCGCCCTAGCACAAGCACGACCCCGTCCCTGAGGAGGTGCGTGCCGTGGGGCAGGTGTGTGGTGCACGCTGATTGACAATCCACATTTCACATTCCAAGACAACCTTCTTCGTGGGCGACCTGCTGCCCGAGTACATTTGGTCTGAACGGCCACGTGTCATGGAGTGGCCATGATGCATGGCAAGTTATCATGGTCATGCATCTGTGCTCTCCAATTCACCCGCTTCCACTCCCCCCTTCCCTGTACACATGTGCGCCCGCCCTCCCATCTTCCTCCCCACAACCTCTACCCCGCTACCCTGCTCTCGCGGAGCAGAACGATGGGGTGGTGCGCACAGTGGTGGGCAGCACGTTCAAGGAGATTGTGATGGATGACTCCAAGGACGTCATGCTCATGGTGGGTGCGAGGTGGTGCTGCTGGATGCGGTGTGGTGGTGCTGGGTGAGTGGTGGTGGTGCATGGGAGGTGACCTTTGCAGCGACTCAACAGTGGTGGGCAGCACGTACTACGAGCTTGCGATGGAGGTGGTTGTGGCAATGGGTGAGGGATGGTGATAATAGGTCGGTGATGGTCGTGCTGGGCGAGGGATGGGGGGGGTTTGTCAAGGGAATGTTTTTAAAGTGAGAAGGATTGACATGGTGCCATGCCATGCCATGCTGTGCCATGCGCGTGTATGTGTGTGGACAAAGCAAAGGCTGTACAGATTACCACTACCATTACCATTACCACTATCATTACCACTACCATTACCACTAGCATTATCATCAGTATTACCATTACCATTACCATTACCATTACCATTACCACTAACATTATCATCACCATTACCATTATCATTACCATTACCATTACCATTATCATTACCATTACTACTACCATTACCACTGCCATTACCGTTACCATTACCATTACCACTATAATTACCATTACTATTCCCATTACCATTAAGAGCTTGCACGCGTGCAAAACCTAAAAAAACTCGCATCCCCCACACCTTCCCAATCCGCCTCTCCGGCCTACATGCATGGGCAGCTGAGTTTTGCGGACGAGTGTCCGTCATGTGACTAACTGCTGCCACACGTCTCGCATCTCCCCCCTCCCAATCCCCAACTCCACCCCACCTCCCTCGCCCTTGCCATGGCAGCTGAGCTTTTCGGACGAGTGTCCATCGTGTGACGACCTGCTGCCACACTTCACGCATCTGGCGGAGCGCCTGAGCGACCGCCCCGCGCTGCTCTTCGCTGCCATGGACTATGCCTCCAATGAGGTGCCGGGCCTTGAGGTCAGTTGCCCTCGTGCTTGGCTTGGAGGTCAGTGCGTGTGCGCCTCTCTGCTCAGTGCGTCAGCGCTGAGTGCTCCATCCAGGTCAATGCTCCCTTGCTACTCTATGCCCCCGCGCTGCTCGTCACCACCATGGACTTGGCCCAAACGAGGTGCCGGGCCTCGAGGTCAGTGCATAAGCCCTGTGGCTGATGACATTGGGGTAGAGACCAAGCTTAAAGATCACTCAGAAGCTTCCCCCTTCCACCCCCCCACCCCTCCGCTTTCCCCTCCCCCGCATGGCCATCAGCTGGTACGCTGATGCTGATGCTGATGCTGATGCTGATGCTGATGCTTATGCTTATGCTTATGCTGATGCTGATGCTGATGCTTATGCTTATGCTTATGCTTATGCTGATGCTGATGCTGATGCTGATGCTGATGCTGATGCTGATGCTTATGCTGATGCTGATGCTGATGCTGATGCTGGTACGCTGATGCTGATGCTGATGCTGATGCTTATGCTGATGCTTATGCTGATGCTGATGCTGATGCTGATGCTGATGCTTATGCTTATGCTTATGCTTATGCTGATGCTGATGCTGATGCTTATGCTGATGCTGATGCTGATGCTGATGCTGATGCTGGTACGCTGATGCTTATGCTGATGCTGATGCTGATGCTGATGCTTATGCTGATGCTGATGGTGATGGTGATGCTTATGCTTATGCTGATGCTGATGCTGATGCTGATGCTGATGCTGATGTTGATGCTGATGCTGATGCTGATGCTGATGCTTATGCTGATGCTGATGCTTATGCTGATGCTGATGCTGATGCTGATGCTGATGCTGATGCTTATGCTGATGCTGATGCTTATGCTGATGCTGATGTTGATGCTTATGCTGATGCTGATGCTGATGCTGATGCTGATGCTTATGCTGATGTTGATGCTGATACGCTGATGCTGATGCTGATGCTTATGCTGATGCTGATGCTGATGCTGATGCTGATGCTTATGCTTATGCTGATGCTGATGCTGATGCTGATGCTGATGTTGATGCTGATGCTGATGCTGATGCTGATGCTTATGCTGATGCTTATGCTGATGCTGATGCTGATGCTGATGCTGGTACGCTGATGCTGATGCTGATGCTGATGCTTATGCTGATGCTTATGCTGATGCTGATGCTGATGCTGATGCTGATGCTGATGCTTATGCTTATGCTTATGCTTATGCTGATGCTGATGCTGATGCTGATGCTTATGCTGATGCTGATGCTGATGCTGATGCTGATGCTGATGCTGATGCTGATGCTGGTACGCTGATGCTTATGCTGATGCTGATGCTTATGCTGATGCTTATGCTGATGCTGATGCTGATGCTGATGCTGATGCTGATGCTTATGCTTATGCTGATGCTGATGCTGATGCTGATGCTGATGCTGATGCTTATGCTGATGCTGATGCTGGTACGCTGATGCTAATGCTGATGCTGATGCTTATGCTGATGCTTATGCTGATGCTGATGCTGATGCTGGTACGCTTATGCTGATGCTTATGCTGATGCTGATGCTGATGCTTATGCTTATGCTGATGCTGATGCTGATGCTGATGCTGATGCTTATGCTGATGCTGATGCTGATGCTGATGCTGATGCTTATGCTGATGCTGATGCTGATGCTGATGTTGATGCTTATGCTGATGCTGATGCTGATGCTTATGCTGATGCTGATGCTTATGCTTATGCTGATGCTGATGCTGATGCTGATGCTGATGCTGATGCTGATGCTGATGTTGATGCTTATGCTGATGCTGATGCTGATGCTGATGCTGATGCTTATGCTGATGCTGATGTTGATGCTGATGTTGATGCTGATACGCTGATGCTGATGCTGATGCTTATGCTTATGCTGATGCTGATGCTGATGCTGATGCTGATGCTTATGCTTATGCTTATGCTGATGCTGATGCTGATGCTTATTCTGATGCTTATGTTGATGCTGATGCTGATGCTGATGTTGATGCTTATGCTGATGCTGATGCTGATGCTGATGCTGATGCTTATGCTGATGCTGATGCTGATGCTGATGCTGACGCTGATGCTGATGCTGATGCTTATGCTGATGCTGATGCTTATGCTGATGCTTATGCTGATGCTGATGCTGATGCTGGTACGCTTATGCTGATGCTTAATGCTGATGCTGATGCTGATGCTGATGCTTATGCTTATGCTTATGCTTATGCTGATGCTGATGCTGATGGTGATGCTGATGCTTATGCTGATGCTGATGCTGATGCTGATGGTGATGCTTATGCTTATGCTGATGCTGATGCTGATGCTGATGTTGATGCTGATGCTGATGCTGATGCTGATGCTTATGCTGATGCTGATGCTTATGCTGATGCTGATGCTGATGCTGATGCTGATGCTTATGCTGATGCTGATGCTTATGCTGATGCTGATGTTGATGCTTATGCTGATGCTGATGCTGATGCTGATGCTGATGCTTATGCTGATGCTGATGTTGATGCTGATACGCTGATGCTGATGCTGATGCTTATGCTGATGCTGATGCTGATGCTGATGCTGATGCTGATGCTGATGCTTATGCTTATGCTTATGCTTATGCTGATGCTGATGCTGATGCTTATTCTGATGCTTATGTTGATGCTGATGCTGATGCTGATGTTGATGCTTATGCTGATGCTGATGCTGATGCTTATGCTGATGCTGATGCTGATGCGGATGCTGATGCTGATGCTGATGCTGATGCTGACGCTGATGCTGATGCTGATGCTTATGCTGATGCTGATGCTTATGCTGATGCTGATGCTGATGCTTATGCTGATGCTGATGCTGATGCTGATGTTGATGCTTATGCTGATGCTGATGCTGATGCTGATGCTGATGCTGATGCTTATTCTGATGCTTATGTTGATGCTGATGCTGATGCTGATGTTGATGCTTATGCTGATGCTGATGCTGATGCTTATGCTGATGCTGATGCTGATGCTGATGCTGATGCTGACGCTGATGCTGATGCTGATGCTTATGCTGATGCTGATGCTGATGCTGATGCTTATGCTGATGCTGATGCTGATGCTGATGCTGATGCTGATGCTGATGCTGATGCTGATGCTGATGCTGATATTGATGCTGATGTTGATGCTCCTTCCTCCCTTTTTTCTTATCTCCGTTCCCATTCCCTCCCCCCCCCATGGCCATCAGCTAGAGGCGTTCCCAACGGTCATGCTCTACCCAGCTGGCAGGAAATCTGACCCGGTAAGCCCCACCCCACAGGCCACGTCTGCCTCTCTGTCTCTCCCACGTGCTGCTCGTCTGCGGCGTTGAAATCAACCAAGTACGTTATGCATTCCTTCGTTGGACGCACATGCTGCTCATGCTCAGGCAAAAGGACACCACCCAACTCGCTTCTGAGTCAATTCAAAAGTCACCTCGATTTCTCACCTCTCGCTGCCCCTTATGCTTATCACCCCCTTTCCCCCCCTCTACCACCCCCACCCCCCTCCACACACCCCTCCTAACCCTGTGCGTGTGCTGCCCCTCAGGTGACAGTGGATGACCGATTGGTGCGGGGGAAGCACATGGTGCTCTCTCGCTCATACAGCCCTCTCACCTCCCACTGCCTCCTATGCATGTCCCTTCCCCCTCTCCCCCCCCTCCCCCTCCTCCTTATTGCTGTGTGCTGCCCCCTCAGGTGGCAGTGGAGGACCGGCTAGTGCGGTGGAAGCACATGGTGCGCACACTCAGGCAGCACGCCGGCACCGCACTGCACCTGCCTGAAAACCTGGAGGAGGAGGTGGAGGAGCAGGGGGAGGAGTACGAGAAGCAGAGGAGGAAGGAAGCTGCAGCGGAGCAGGCAAGGCGAGAAGCAGGCGAGGTGAAGGACGAGCTGTGAGGCTGGCAGGCAGCGAATGGGTCGTGGGAGAATTGTTGAGACAGGGAGGCAGAGAGAGAGGTGAAGCAAGGAGAGTGTTGAGACGCGGAGCCCATTGGCGCGTGTCACACGCATTCCGTTGTGACTGTTGAGTCCAACCAATCCAAAGGTGGCCTTGGTGGAGCAAGAGAGAGTTGAGAGGCCCAGTGGCTGCTGAACCAGCAGCACATTCTGCTGCTGTGTGATGCGGTGGGGAGAAGCGATAGATAAAATCGTGATACCCGGCCTGCTTTCCCTGCTTTGCCACACAACTGTTCGTTTTTTTGCAATAAGAGTCAATGTGGAACCCTCACAGTGCTGCCCTGCCTACAACACTTGTGGCGCAAAAAAATCAATCCATTAACAAGCAGGGAACATATTCAATGATCAATTCACTCTACACCATTGACCATGCATCTACTGTATGCTCCCTCCAGCCTGGCACTGCGCAGGCATGCTACATTCTATCTACTTGCCATGGCCCTTGATCTCCCCCGCTATGCCATCTGCCAGCCCCTCTGGAGTGTGATTGCGGCCAAAGAACTTGACAAACTCAAACTCCGGACTCATCAAATACCTGAGGGTAAGAGAGTGGTGGGGGGAGAGAGGAGATTGGAGGGGGTTGGTGAGGATGGAAGAAAGAGAAGACAGGAAAGGCAGCAATTGCATGGAAATAGAGGTGACAAGTGGCAGATGCAAGGCAGCAGGGGTGCGCTCAATCAATGAGGATTTTGTGGCCCTCTTCCTCTGTCTCCATGTGGTAACCACATGGACAGAGAGGTAGGTAACAGACTTGCGAGAAGCAGATGCAAGGCAGGAGGGGTGCTCACGAGATGATGGAGTGATCGACAAGGTAGTCGTACCCCTCCTCCTCTGTCTTCATGTAATACACTCGGAATGCACGCGCTGCTGCCTTCACCTGCCACCAGCAGCCCATGTGCATGGTGTGGGGAAGGTGAGGGAGGGGGAGAGCAGGAGCAGATAAACAACCATGAAGAAATCACCTGTCGTATCACAATGAAACATGCTGCATGCTCATCATGGAACTTGCAGCATGGCTGAAGCATCTAATCACAAGATAACTGCAATGCCACCCACCTGTTCTGGTGAGCCTGTGAGGCCGATCATTCTCGGGTGGAACTCTGCAGCGGGTTGAACGAGCACGGGGAGCAAGGGGTGGAATGGGAGCAAGGGAGGAACAGGAGGAATGGTGAGAATATAGGAACGAGAGGCATGGAAGGAGGTGCAGGTAGTTTCAAGGAGGTGCAGGAGGGTGAATGTGCGGAGGGGTGAACGTGCAGAGGGGTGAACGTGCGGAGGGGTGAACGTGTGGAGGGGTGAACGTGCAGAGGGGTGAACGTGTGGAGGGGTGAACGTGCCGAGGGGTGAATGCTTACCTCCTTAACCTGCTCCGTGGTCCACCGATATGAACACCGGTGGTGCCAGGCAGTGCAAGGAGGTGCAGGGCGGTACGATGCGGTGCAAGGTGAGTGCAGCGGGCACGCACCTTTGACGTACTCCTTGACCTGATCAGCGGTGTCTCGCTCAGGGTCCACTGATATGAACACCGGCACCACCTTCACTCCCACCTGCTTCTCTGCACGCACACACACAGAGAGTGGGGGTGGGTAAGGGGACAGTGGCGGATGGAGAGTGCATGGGGCGGCAAGCGGTCCCTTGCGACTGTGCATGGAGAGAAGGAGATTAGAGAGGAAGATGTGGCATGTGCCTCATGCACACACTCACAGGGCGCACGAGGCCCACTAGATCCACAGCCTGGGCGATCTTAATGAGCTCGCTGGGGCAGATGTCCGGGCAGAAGGCCGAAGTAGAGCAGCAGGCCTCATGTACGCAGCCGCACCCACTTCCCTCCCCCTCCCCTCCCCCTTTCGTGCACCGCCCACCCGGACCCCCCTCCCTGCCCACCCACACGCACCCACGAGGTCGACAGCGTGGGCGATCTTGATGAGTTCGCTGGGGCAGATGTCCGGGCAGAAGGTGAACCCGAAGTACAGCAGCGCCCACCGCCCCTTGAGCTCCGCCTCTGTGAACGGCTTCCCCTGCCCGTCCACCAGCGTAAACGGGCCGCCTATGGCCGCCTTGCCCACCGGCTTTAGCTCCCTCACGGCTGCCGAGGGGAAGGGGATGGGGCATGGGGGAGGGGGGTAAAGGCCTTGTATGGCCGCCTATCCACTGGCTTCAAATCCCTCACGGCTGCCGGCGGGAGAGTTGGGGTAATGAGAGCGCAGGAGAGAAAGCAGGTACCTCTTTGCTTTCTCTCCTGTAATGGGAGCACAACTCTTCACAGGAAAAAGCAGAGGGCAGCCGTGGTGAGACAGTCAAGTGCGGTATAGGCCCTGTGTGTCTTTACCCTTCACGACTTCTGAGGCGCCTCAACTGCAGTAGGGACACGCCTGGCCTCCGCCCTTCACCTGACTTTCTCCCGGGTTCACCCAAACTTACCGCAACAAACCACCCGCTCTCACCTTCACCAGCAGCACAACACACACCCACGCTCACCTTCCAGTCGCTTGCGCTTCTCGCTCTCAAAGTACGTCAGCAGTGCGCCGCCTGTCAGCAGCAGCAGCGCCAGACTAGCCCACGTCACTGGCTGTGGGGGGGGGAAAGGGGGGAGAGGAGGGGAGTGAGTGAAGGGCGGAACATGAGGCATGGCACGGTGCGCGAGTGGTGGTGGCAGCAGTGACAAGCGCGCGAAGGGGCAGAGTGGAAGGGGCAGAGTGGAAGGGGCAGAGTGGAAGGGGCAGAGTGGAAGGGGCAGAGTGAAGGGGAGTGCAGCAGCTATGTCGGTGGCAGGCACTACTCACCCCTCGCCTGCCTCTGCTGTCACTACTGCCGTCACTGCTGCTGCCGCCGCTGCTGTTGCTCCCACTGTGCTCGCCCCCATCGCTGCTCTCCTGCTCGCCTTTGTCCCCATCGTCCCCGCCTTGCCTCCCCTTCCCCTCCACTTTCCCCTCCCCCTCCCCCTCCCCCTCCGCCCTGCTTCTGACTGCTTCCCCCTCGGACCGCCCAGAGACTGGCCGCGCAGAAGTGAGTTGAGGGATGACGACTTGCAGAGCGCGCACGTGGTGCGGGACGACCTGCCGGCTAGCTGGTAGCGCCTGACGGTCAGGCATCGCCTGGCCGGCAACTGCCGGAAACAAGTTTGCGGATGAAATGCTTAGTCTCCTATTCTTCAACAGGGCGATGTCGCATTCTGCCGGTGAGTGATATTGTAACGAGGATAGTGCCACTGTCGAGGCGAGGGGTGCGTGGGGCGGGGGGAATGGCGGGGAAACGGGGGGCTTGGGAGGGAGGAAAGGGATACCGTGCACTGGGTGATCGTGTGCGCGGTCCAGCGAGGTGACGAACGGTTGTGATCGGTCCAGTGTTGGTCTGCAAAGGATCGATCGCTGGGCGATCAGCTGCGACTGCAGCAGCATCGCCTGCCATCGCACATGGCGTCGCGCCGACGCCGCGGCGAGGGACATGGGCGCGACGATGTGAGCGGCACGATGGGAGCGAGCGGCGCGACGGAAGCTACTGGCGCGATGGGAGCACGCGTCGCGATCGAGAGGGGCGAAAGTGGTGGAGACGGGATATGCGGAATGGGCGAAGGAATGATGGGCGACGCAACGCACACGACAGCGCGCGATCGGGCAGACGGAAAAGGGGCACAGCGGAGTGAGGGAGCGAATAATGAAAGGACAGGAGTTTAGAAGCTCGGGTCGGATGGTAGGGGCGAGCGGGTCTCGGATCTGACGTGGCACTGGGAAGCCTTCTTTCGAAAGAAGCTTCTTGCTCGCGGCGCGCGAGGGAGAGCGCAGAATGCTGTTTTATTCTCGGTAAAAACGCATTCGCCTCTGGCCAATATACGGTTGGTAACTCGTATACATAAATAGAATGAATCACTTGAATACATGAACGCTCCATCAAAGCACCATTTCACATTCCTGAATCTGCTCCAAGGCTCCGTAAAGCCCAGTGTGGCCTGGAGCCGTCATCTAGCCTACGCTTTGGGTGAAGGGCCTGGAGGTGCCTGCGATACACCACGGCAGCAGCACACACGACGACACGTCCAAGTTCTGGCTCTGTCGGCAGGGCTGACGTTTCGTTTTAGGACTCCCTGATTCCAGTAAAAAATTTGCCCCTCTATTATGAGAGCACATTTTTCGCAAGGTAGCTACTCTGATTGCTCTGTGTCACACGAAGTCCTACTCTGACCGCACAGGGTTCACAGCTTAAAAACAGGGTTGCTATTAACATTGCACTATTCTCCAAATTTATACAACTGCATGCTCTTGCCTTGCCTAGGCTATCTAGTCTAGTGTACGGTCCTGTCTCTGAAGTACACCTCCTCCACGTCCTCATCGTCCGACAGGAATGGATTATCCTCCGCTTCCTCCTCCTCCCCCACGATCTCCTGATCGTCGCCGAAGGCCTGTTCCACTTCGTCGTCCTCCTCCTCCTCCCCCTCATCCTCGTTCTCCCCGGCATTTCCAGCAGCCACATCTTCACCCTCCTTCTGCTTCACCTTCCTCCCCCTCTCCGCCACAGCCAGCTTCAAGCTCTTCGCAGGGCGCCTCCTCCGCAGGGACCTCCACACCTCCAGTGCCTCCGGCCAGTCGATCTCATACCTCAGGAGCGATATCTGCATCAGCTCCCCCAGACGCGCGTTGCACAGCGCTCCTCGTATCCAGGACTTGATGACGTTCTGCCTGGAGAACCCCCTCTCGCACTCCACGGTGGAGAGGGGGAGCACCGCCAGCACCTGCCACAGCAGGATGAGGTTGGGCCATCTCCTGCCAGACACATTCGTTCAGACAACACAAAGGAAGCAGATAGCGATGCGCATCAACAGTTTAAAACTCTTTTAATCATAGTATACGCTACCTCTTAGAGTCTGCGCTCCCAAGGAAGTTGGACAGGCCCTGGATGAAGCTCTCCATCTCATAGTGTGTCTCCATGATCGCGCAGAAGGTTGGAAGCTCCCTCTCTGCTGCTTTGAGGTCGAATCCGGGCAGTTTGTTGCGGAACAGCCTGCTGCATCCGTTCAACCACTCCTTACACTTCTTCTCTCGCTGGGCTTTGATCTTCGGCCACTTCCCTGCCCGGAACAGCTCCAGCTTCCCAAGGTCATCCAGCCGGTCGTTGAGGTTGTCCACGCAGTCACGGGCGAATTTGCGGCACAGCTTCACGCAGTCTGCGTAGGTGCTTCCGTGTTTGTGCCCCTTCAGTTTCCGCTCATGCATGGTGTACAGGTGGTTGATCGGGCGACCAGCACCGTCCACGCCTCGCACTCGGACCTGCTTGCCTCCACCCTCCTTGTGGACTTTGAGGAAGTTCACCAGCCAGCTCTTCCCTTCGCCCCCGAAAGCTTTCTCTGGCGTCAAGTAGCGCTCCGTGAGGTCACCCGTGGTGGACTCGATCGTCTTTGCAATCTCAGTCACGTCCAGCTGTGTCAGAACAGGGGTAGACAAGAGGGAGAAGGCTTAGCAACAGAACAGTTATAAACGTCACGTAGCAACATCGTATAAACATTCGACCTCACCTCTCTTCTCTGGAAGCAGCGGTTGAGGTCGTTCATGTCCGCCAAGATGTCGGCCAAGAAAAACAAGCAGAACTGAAACTTGTAGCAGGTCACAATCTCGTACGCCTTGTGATTGTGCTCCCAGAGCAGCACTATGCAAGCCCCGAGGACCTTGCAAAGCCTGCCCACCGCATCTCCTCGAGATAACCACCGCACCGTGTGAATCCCTTGGACTTCCAGGTTGGTCTTGTAAATCACACGCTGCAGGTACTTGAACCGCTGACTCCACACGCTGGAGTTACCGAGCAGCGTCGCGACTGTGCGCACCACCTTGTCGACCATGCCGAGATCCGGGTTTGAGTCCGCGGCGTCCTTCACTGCCAACGCCTCACTGTGAAAAGCAGACAACACATATCATGGTTAGTCAGAAAACAAATCAGCGTAGTTAACCACCCATACAACAGACTAACTCACATACCGATGAGCGATGCAGTGGCATGAAAACAGATGAGGAACATGTTCGCGAAGACGCGCCACCAATCCGTTCTCTCTCCCTGTCATAACCGACGCCCCGTCCGTGCTGATGCCGACGATCTTGGACACATCGACGCCAGCGGAGCGGACATGGTTCAGAATCACTTCAAACAATGACCCTGCATCACACCGCTCGACCGTCAGCAATGTGAAAAACTCGCATGCAACATGGCGGTTCTTAAAAAACGTAAGGTACACAATCATGTGTTTCCCTCGCGTGCGGTCAGTTCTCTCGTCGCATTGGATGCCCAGGAACGGTGATGCCAGGATGTGGTCCATCTGCACACGCGTGAGGTAAGTGCTGATGCTGTGGACCATCTGCTGGAAGCCGTAGCTGCAAAAAAAAAGAACAGAGAAATTATGAGTAAATGATAGTCAAGCAAGGATGTGCCATGCATGCATGAATTTGCAATCAGTTTGAAGCGTCACTTACCGCGTCAGATAAACGCCGTACGACTGCCGGGGAATGTCTGGAGTGTCCTGCTCCGCAAGATGCCGCATCAGCCTTGGAAACATGCTAATCGGCGCGTCGCACTGGCACAGGAATTGAGTCGACCGCATCAGTCGAATCGCGCGGCGGCCCTCGATGTCGGAGTTGATGAAGTCCGAAATCACCTGCTGCCCCTCGTGGATTCCCGCCGCAATCTTCATCTGCCGGTCCACCGCCGCCTTGTGCGCGTCCGTATGCTCGTGCGCGCGGAACGACTGCGTCTGCAAGTCATGGCCTCCATCGTCACCTTGCATGGCGTACCTCGTGTTTCCCTTCCCGTACGACATGCAGATGCTGCACTTCACGTAGGGAAAGCCGTCCTTGGTTTTCCCAAACACCAGCCATGAGAAGTATCCCGCCCACTTCGTCTCGTAGTTTATACTCGCCTCCAGGTACATCTGCTCGCGCAACTGCGCCTTGGTGAGTGCGGGCGACCCGGTATCCGCCCGCACCGGGATGTCACCTTCCTCCGGCAGCTCAGCTTCGTTCTGTGGAGGCTCAGCCGGCTTTTCAGGCGGTGGAATACGACGGCCTCCCACCACCAAAGTACTCTGCGAAAACTTCCCAGATCGCGCACGCTTGGGAGTGAACGCGACAGGACAAGGAGAATCGGAAGGAGCAGGGGTTACTATCGCGGCGGAGTCATGAACGATGGACCTAGGCGGTTCTGGTGCGACGGGAGCAGCCGTAGCTCTAAGAAAATCGAGCCCAGAACGTGGACGGTCGGATGATTTCTCCGGCTCGGACGGCGCGGTGGGTTTCGCCGGTAAAGGTGGCTCGTCAGGGCCAGTCTCAGGAGCAGCGTCGTCGGCTGGCATGGCCTCCATGGCGGCGAGATTGCTAGCTAAACGGTGAGAGAGGAAAGTGAGAGACTGAATACACGGAATGGAAAGAAAACAGCAGCGCCCAAATGAACCAAGGCTGTAGGTAGGGGGAGGGAACGGAAGGTTGGAGAAGGCGGGGTCAGCAAGAAACCACCGCGCCGCGACTCCAAACATTTGATGCCAGCATTCGACGATGTATTCGACCTTGCATTCAAGGCCGAATTCATTGACGGTCTGCTTGGCTGCCACCGCATGCTGTCAAGAGGCCGTTCTGGCCGATGGCAGATGCATGCCGTGCACTGTGCGGTGCGCGTGGCAGCAAGGTATGATTGTTTTCTGTGCGTTGTCGCTGTTGCCAGCTGTGATGTACAGCACGGCGGTGTATTTCATTGTCGGTATTACGTCACTCTTCTGCGCGTGAAGGGGGTACCTCACATGGGGGCACGCAAAGTAATGATTACGCACAGGGGGGTTATCGTAAGGAAACTTCGAGGAACCTTCCTCCCGATACCCTCGCATTCAGGGTCCACCGAACGCGTACTCTACATAGACATAGTCCGTAAGTACACTACTCTGAGCCTAGTTAAGAGATTTCAGAGTTCGTTAAGTATCTTCTCTGATTGGATCTGGGTTCACAAGTTTAAAAAACTGAGTTTGCAGGGACCACCAAGTGAGATGCCTGTAATCACCCTGAAATCAGGGTAATTACCCTGATAAAATCAGCCCTGTCTGTCGGCCTACACAGCATGGGGCACAGGATGGGGAGGGAGTAGGGGCGGGCTTTTGAATGGAATGGCGTGGGGATGGGATGGAATACGTGGTGCAATGGTGCCGTGACGCAGGGATGTCGCGATGCAGTGGTGCAGAGCAGAGCGATGACAGGAAGAGAGGGCAGAGTTGAGGAGAGAGAGGGTTACTGAAGGAGAGGGTGGAGTGCAAGGCAGTGTGTGCCTTCTTGGGCTGTGGGCGCAGATGTCTTACCCACAGCAGCTGGAGGAAGCTGCAATCGATACGGTGGAGGCGGGGCCAGGAGAAGTCGCAGTCGTTTATGTGACCGGTGGGGGGAGGGTGGGGAGAGGCGGTGCATGGGGAGGTGGTGCCGTGGTGGGCGGGGATGCTGCCAGCGGTTGCGGTCGAGGGGAGGTGGGAGGAGGAATGGGAGGGGGTTATAGGGGAGGAGGAGCAGGCACAGGAGCAGAAGCATCAGACGCAGGGGATAGAGGAGGAGATTGAGCAGGGGGAGGTGCGGCGGGAGAGGGGGGGGATGCAGACGGGGCCGAAGATTCCCCTGGAGCTGCTGCTTCCTGTCTGTCAGCGAGCAGCAGAGCGGCCTTGAGGCAGAGGCGGCAGGGCAGGGTGAGGATGGAGAGGGCAGCGGCGTGCTTGAGGTTGCCACTGCTGTTGCAGATGCGCCACGCGTGGTAGTCCAGGTATTGCGCTGCGAGAGAGGGGGCAGGAGGATGGGGCCGACATGGCGAGAGGGAAGAGGTGTGTGAGTGGGGGAAGGGAACTCTCAAAAGACACGGTTGGCGAGAACGTGAGAGGGAAATAAAGGGAGAGCAATAGAGGGGGGGGGGGACGTGAGAGCGGGGGGGAGAGAGTGGGAGTGGAAGAGCAGTGCATACTGGCGTTTGCATGGAGCTGGTTGATGAGCACCCCCACGTCCGTCTTGTTGGGGAAGGCGCGCATGTCTATGAACGACCCCGGTGCTGCCACGTGTGCCACGTCTGGCGCTCCGTAGTACACCGGTACTGTGCCTGGGGGCATGGGGAGGCAATGGCGGTGCAGTGTGGTGCGGAGGGGCAAGGTGTGGTTTGAGTCGACTCAAAGTGACCCCAGAAGTGCCAGGTGTGCCACGTCTGGTGCTCATGGCTGGGGGAATGGGGAGGCAACGACAGTGCACTGCGGTGCAGTGGGGTGCAGAGGGGCGACAGTGGTTTGAGCCAGCTCAAAATGACACCAGTGGAGTCACAAGTACCATGTTTGGGCTCTGTAAAACTGTTTGAATCAGATACTTGGGGAACAAATGGGGACAGCAGGGGAGAGCGGGAGAGGGGAAGTAGAAGGGGGTAGAGGGTTGGGGAGTAGGGAGAGAGGTGAGGAGGTGTGGAGAAGGGGGGAGAGAGGGAGAGAGGTGGGCAGAAGGGGGTAGAGGCGGGTAGAGGGGGGTACAGAAGGGGAAAGCGGGGAAGAGGGCGGGAGAGGACGGGAGAGAGCAGGAGAGGGCGGGAGAGAAGGGGAGAGCGGAGAAGGAAGGAGGAATGGGGAGGCATAGTGGCGACTGACGGGCATCGAAGGGGATGAAGAGCTTCTCAGTGGCGTAGCTCTCCCGCTCGCTGTTCTCCACGGCGATGGCAAACTTGTACCTCGACTCCACACAGTGCGTGCGCGCTGTCCACTTGTCCAGAGGCGTGCTGCAGGGCGCGTGAGGATGGGGTGGAGGAAGAGTGGGGTGTGGGGTGGGGAGGGCCGGAGAGGAGGGGACGAGCGGCAACACAATGACAGGAAAGGTGAACGTTGACTTGCCAGAATCCACGCCTGCTGCCCACGTGGTGTGCTGGCGTATGGGGAGTGTGAGGAGCTCGACCTACTTGAAATGACCCTGTGTTGGTGGTCGTTTCAATTTAAGTAGGTGGTGTGCGCTGTCGTACCGGCAGGTGGGGTGGGCGATGAGCTCGGAGATGCGGTGCATGTTGAACTGGCAGCGGCCGAACGAGTGGTGGCGCACCACCCGCAGAATGTCCTTCACCATGGCCTCCCTCCACCTCACCGAGCAGTGCGACCCCGCACGGTACAGCGGCACACCCTGCATGGTACCGCACACAGGGGGCGTGGGGGGAAATGGATAGGGACAATGGCACGCACTGGGTGCACAATGGCCGATCTGCAAGGGCGTGCATGGAAACACAAGGGCGTGCAGAATGCCCTTCACCATTCTGCGCGCGCTGTACAGCGGCACACCCGGCATGGTACTGCTAGGGGGAGAAGAGGGTGAATGGATATGGCAGACGTGCACTGAGTGTTACAGCAGACGAATGGACACAGAAGCAGATGCTTGATACGGCAGCCGGGCCCTGCATGCAGGGAGAAGCTTGCAACTGGAGCGAGGGATGGAGATGAGGAACGGAGGGACGGACGGAGGGATGGAGGGAGGGAGGGAGGGAGGGAGGGAGGGAGGGAGGGAGGGAGGGAGGGAGGGAGGGAGGGAGGGAGGGAGGGAGGGAGGGAGGGAGGGAGGGAGGGAGGGAGGGAGCAGAATGCAACGCCAGGGTGGTGTGACAAGGCAAGCAAGGGCAATGGGGCACATGGAGCATCCTCACTCACAGCGAGTTTGATGTTGGAGACGAGGTCCTTGCGGGCCTCATCATCATTCATGCCCACGTAGGTGATCTGCACGTCGCTGTCGCGGTGGTACCCCACCACCACGTCCCACCGCGCCTGCTGCTCCATGGGCACCCACGGGGAGAAGATCTGCCGCCCGGGCACTGTGGCGCCCTCGGGTGCTGCCTCAGGGTCCAGCAGGGCCAGTAGCGGCCGCTCGTGGGGAGGCCGTGTGGTGAGCGCATCCATTTCTGGGGGAGGGAGGGGAGAGGGGCGAAAAGGGAGAGCGGGAAGCAAACGATTTCCCCCATGGGCACCCACGGGGAGAAGATGTGTCGTCCCGGCACTGTGGCGCCCTCGGGTGCTGCCTCGGGGTCGAACGGGGCCAGCAGGCGGCGCTCGTGGGGGGGGAGCGTGGTGAGCGCATCCATAGCTGGGAGAGTGGGGAGGAGAAGGAAGCGGGGAAGAGTGTTGGTGGAGGCGAAAGGAAAGGAGGGGCAGGAGGGGCCAAGCGGTGAGCGGGAGCGGCCAACAGGGGAGGGGGGAGGAGGGGGAATGGTGAAAGGTGGGGTTGGGAGTTGAGGAGTGTGGGGAGTGCGGAAGAAAGGGAAGGAGGCGGGGCAGGGAGTGCAGGGAGTGTTAGGTGTAGCAAGGCGGATGGAACACAGCAAGGGGATAGATTCATGGCATCATGGTGCTACGCGGCAGGCACATGAGCCCTATGCGCCCCCCTGGCATGTGGTGTGGGGTGTGCCATGTGGTGTGGTGCGGTGTGGTGTGAACAAGGTGCACTCACCTCTCGACTCTGCCTCCTTGAGGGAAACGAACCGGGGCACGAAGAGCAGGACATGTGTATGTTGGTTGAATCGACTCAAAGCACACACGCGGTACCATGTGTGAATAAGGCGAGCAGCGAAGTGCCCACCTTGTTGCTCGGCCTCCTTAAGGGGCCCGTACTGGCGCACAAAGAGCAGCACGTCGGGGCGAGGCACCACCTGCGCCTCCCAGGAGAACTGGGGGGTGCGCACGAGAGAGAGAGAGGGGGAGGGAGGACCATTCGAGAGAGAGAGGGGGAGGGAGGAGTGACAGATCGGGAGGATTGGAGTGACGGGATGAGTGAGTGAGACGGAGATACAAGACGGGCCCAGAAATTTGAGCGTGTGTGAAAGCATCATTCACGCAGTGGGGCACACTGCAATGAGCGGGTTGGGTTCCACCTATCGCAGAGCAATAAAAGCCCTGACACCACTCACCGTGCAGGTGAGGCCGCAGTGCGCGCATGTGTGAGTGCCCTCCAGCCCCAGGCGGTTGCCAAAGCGCTGCCCGAACCACACGAACGGCGGCTGCACGCGCACGCTCACATGCCGCTGCTGTATCCGCGGACACTCGGGTAGCGACAGCGGCTGCCACGGAGGGACGGTGAGGGCGGAAAGCGGGGGGGGGGGAGGGGGGGGGGGGCGGTTGAGGTGAATCAAAAAGGGCGGCTGCACGCGCACATTCACATGCCGCTGCTGTATCCGCGGACACTCGGGCAGCGACAGCGGCTGCATGAATGGGGCGATGGGGGCGGAGGGAGGAGGGGGATGGGTGGTGAGCGAGAAAGGAGGGGGAGGATGGAGCGGGTGGTGATGCGCCCGTGCAATCATGGAGTGATGTGGTGATGCAGTGGGGGGGGAATGAAGCGTATGGGGGTGGTACCGACCTGGAGCGAGGGGTTGGGAGGCCAGGAGGCGGGGTCGTCGTCTTGCAGCAGGTCCACGTGGAGGTGCGACGAGAAGCGCTCACGAAAACGATCGCAGCCGCCGCCAGCCCGCCACTTCCTGCAAGACACATGGCGGTGGTTGGAATGGGGGAAGCGCGCATCGGTCCAGCTACGACAACACCGCATGTCCGTGACAGATTCTTGAAAATCCTCAAAAATCGGCAGCAACACCACATCTCTAGCTCACGCGCGCTGCGAGCTTCTTCGTATGACGGGCGTGAATCCGCGACCACAACTCACGGCAGCTGTAAGCGGCTTCAGGCCAAGCGCGTCCAGCAGCAGCATGAATCAGCGGACTCACTCGATCTCGAGAGTCATGTTGAAGAAACCCTCCTTCCACGTCTCGTTGAGACTGAAATCGAAACTCGCGTTGAACGCCGCCTCCTCGTCCTCCAATCGCCGCGCTCGACGGACTCCATTTTGCCCGGATGGAGCGGGAGACGCTCGCCGCGCCAGGCGGAGTTGTGACGAGAAGGAGAGGACTGCGAGGACGGCAGCGATGAGGTACGCGACGACGAGCAGTACGCGCGACAATATAAGGCGTGAATCTGAAACAGATACGGCAGGATCGTTTGCACGTTGAGTCATGTTGACGCAGTCAATGGCACCTAAATGGCTTTCGCACCAGCGCCCTCGAGTCTCTGGTTGCGACAATGGCGTGGAAGGAGTTGAATCTCTCTGGCCAGTAGACACAGGGTCTGAAGGGTCGTGCTGCGGGTTCGTCTTTGCCCTCTACTAAGCACATTTCAACATGGAACTCTGGGCACCCATTTCGTCTTGTGACGAAAGGCCAGCATAACAACAACCTGTCTGGTAACAGTTGTCGCATACTCGCAGCTGAATGGCTTTCGCTGGTCTTTGTGGGCGCCCATCATTCCCCCTTCATCTCCATGTTGACCAAATCTTTCTAGAAGCTCGATTTTCGATTCAGTGTTCAGCCTGCTGATTCTGTTCAAAAGGCCGTTTCCGCCATGGCTTCGCAAGTTCTATTTCGTCCGAATGTCGCAGCTGTTTCCCCTAGCGGGTCGCTCTCCCTAACGACTCGTCGTTCCATCCACATTCAAATTCTTAGCAGTTCGTTCTGCCGTTTCCCGGCACTTCCTGCGCGTTCGCCCGTAGTGACCTGGACCCGACCACTCTCTGCTCGCGCACAGACTGCAATCTCGCCCTCTGGTCCTTCTTCGGGGCCTTTCCAGCGTGGAGTAGTTTCGTCCGACTCAACGCGTCGCGATTGGTCCGTTCGCGCTGCTGACTACGTGTCACCGGGCTACGAGTATGAGCAGGAGATTGATCCTCAGGAGGCCGCGAGGCGTGAGCAGGTGAGCGGAGTGGATTCCGTGCTCCCTTTTTATTGACTCCTGTTAAATCTTCCGCATACTTATTCCATGGCGTCCATTATTTTACTCGTTTGCTTTGTGAATCTATGCTACTTTTCACTCCCATCTTCGATTGTACCTTCCCACTCACGATTCGCCACCAGGCTTCGAAGCGGGTGGAACGAACGGCCAAATACTTCCGCCAGTTGGGAATTATCGGATTCTGGGGCCAGCTGGTCTGCTCTGTTGTCGCCTCCGTGATCCTCACCTTCTCCATTGTCATCTCTGGTCGGCCTACAGCTCCAGTTTCCACGTATCTCACGTCGGCTGGAATCGTGGCCGCATTTCTGTCTGTCTTCTGGTCATTTGGGTACCTCAGGCTGGCCGATCGGCTGCGCAATGCCATTGAGAATCCCATGAAGGTGGGTGAATTAGAGTTCCTGAGTTCCTTGCTCTCAAACTTTGATGGTGCAATGCCAGCTTATGCCTGAGCGCCCCTCCTCCTCCATGGTGGTAACTATATAGAATCCGCCCTGCCTTGCCGACAGACTGCTCTTAGCTCAGTAGGTTTCAAGGTCGTTTCATTTGTCTTATTCATACATTCATATGCATAATCACATTTGCAGGCCCCTCCTCGCTCTTCAGTGGTGGCAAATCTCAAGAATGGCCTCATTATCAACTTGCTTGGCCTAGGAGCCACTCTCCTCGGCCTCCAGGCCACTGTTGGAGTGCTCGTTGCCAAAGCCCTTACTTCCTCCACTCCCATCTATGGTGCTGTCGGCCTTCCGACTGGCTACAACCCTGTTCTGGCCCTCGACGTCTTCCTTGTTCAGGTGCGTGCATGCTGATCACCATGATTATGGCTAGCATCATCTAATTTTTATTTTTATTTGCTGCTGGGTCACCTAGTTGATGGTGAAATGCTCAGAATCCTCAGGAGTCACAAATGAGCTTGGAAAGGGAAAGTATTATGTTTGCTACTTCCATTCTGGCCTCCTTGCAGGCGTCTGGCAACACTGCTCTTTCTCACTTTCTTGGACTTGTGCTGACCCTGGAGTTGCTGCGCGCAACAACACTTTCACAGCCACCTCCTGAGAATGTCATCCCACAAGCGTCATGAGTCATGACCAGAGCTGTGGGGGGCAGATGTAGGCTGTACATTAGATGTGTAGTCTTGAGGGATGTGCTTTGTCAGGTGCACTCGGCACCAGTATTGAACACTTCGATGGGAGAACAACCGCTGTCAGAAGCTTCGAGTGCCCCATTCCAGTGTATGACAGAACCAGCTGTCATACTGGACGTGTTTCCATTATAATCTGGTACATCTCCTCTTCTTCCTGTCATTACTCCCAATTGAAGCTGAAACCTGGACACTGCATTCCAAGCCGTGTACTTCCTTTGAAGGGGATGCTCTCAGCATCGCATCAGCCACTGCAGTTCTAAATGCAGATGAATGCTTGCCACAGTTGTGCCGTGCAGCATTTTCCAGAAATGGCTCAAGGGATGAGTGCCCCACGTTCATTCTGCAGTGTAAAGAATTTAGTGCAATGCAATGATTGAGATGACATGATTCAGGCTGATTTGTGCTCCATACCTCACTCGGGGTTCTCCAAAAAGCTTAACCTCAACATTCCCAAATGGCTCATCTTTGTCAGCGGCCATTGTTATCTGTGCTGGTGGGTAGTGTCAGCCACTGCAACTTACAGGCTGCATGAACGAAAAGACAGTACTTCATTGATCTCACCTCAGCAGGCCACCAGATACCCCGATCTTTGGCCCAAACAAGTGAGCCCACCTTTAGTTCTTGTTGTTGAAATGCACCTGCAGGGGTCTGCCACAATAGATGTGGGTTGGAAAAAAGAAAGCCTTAAGAATGGATGCAAGAACACAGGCTCGAACATGTTCTGGCGTTTGGAAACTCACCATTTTTTACAGTTTCCTTTTTTGGTGCAGCAAGAAAGTACACAGGCTCGAACATGTTCTGGCGTTTGGTAACTCACCATTTTCGACAGTTTCCTTTTCTGGTGCAGCAATGGCCTTTGGCGCACATTCGCATGCTTCTGGCTTTCTGTCATAGAAAGCTCAGCCCTGCTTGTCATAACCCAAGCTCCATGAAGACGGGAGTCCTTCGCCTTAGCTGCAGTCCACAATTCATCCCAGCTGAACTTTCTCATGCTGTCAGATAGATCCACAGTCAAGTCAGCAATGCTAGCTCGGTCCCCTCCTTGAGAACGAATCCTGAAGGGGGAATGCGACTTCTGCAATGACACACATGAAAACTGGTTAAGCAATGACAGCATAGGGAGTGGGTCAGAAGCATGCCCTTATGCACTTCCATCTTACCATGCAGTCCTTTGAACATGTTCCGGCTATATGGGACTTCTTGACAGTCCGCATAACTCTCCCTACATGGACTGAAGGCTGCAACTTCGTGATGTCATTCCTGTGACAGCTTTTGACCCCCTGAACAGCAGCAGCAATGCATGAAGAGAAGATGCAATTCCCCTAACCAGAAATGCAGTAATACGCTTGAAATAGACATACCTTGAGAGACACCATTATCACTGTCCTCCCAATCTTCGAGTTTGGCTTGACCTCGTTTGTGTCAATTTGCAAATGGAGAGATAACCTTAAAACCTGGTTTTCCAACGATACCCAGTCCACTGAAGCTGCTCCAGAAATCTGCTCATCAAGAGGGCTAGGAGGAGAAGCAGGCCCTTTAAATAATTCTTCTGCAATTTCTGCTGGTTCGGGTTTGATCTGTGGTGCCGTTGCCAAAACTGGTATTTTGCCGTTGCAGATACCGGTTTTCATGTCTGTTTCCTCTGCATGCACAGAAGTTTTTCCTTGTTTATCAACAATAAGCTGCTGTTCCAAGGACTTGGGCGCTTCCATCACTCCACATTTGCTCCTCTGCTCCATTATTCCAGCGCTGTTAGTCTTCTCCAGTAATTGAACAAGAGGCCCGCGCATGGCCTGCTCAGGTATACCAGAATCTCTTATCAAGTGGACATTCCTGTCAGAACTTGCCAAATAACAAAAACGGTCGAATCAATGAGCCTCACCGTGCTATTTTGCTTCAAAGAGTCTCCACAACGCTCCATAGAGCGGTCGGGGCCAGGAAACGGATCGTCCATGGATGTGCCGGAATTTACAAGCTTAGGTCGTGGTGTGGAAATGACCATCATTTTGCCAGTATCCGAAAATTCTGGTGCTTCTCGTTTGATAGGCCTTGAACTCGTCAGAGTGAGCACATTCCTCCAGTCCGACTTAAAAACGTTCTCGGCCAAGTCCACTGGCGGGCATTGCTCCATCGTGAGAAGCTTTGCCACAGCTTCAGCCACAAGGCTTTTCTCTGGCACAGAAGGAAGCCTGGATTCTAAACCCTTCAGTGTTGTCGTCCGAGGACTTCCAGGCTCAATTTGGCTCTCTGGCGCTTGGGTGCTCAAATCAACAGCAGCAACTCCAGTGGCCTTCATCTCGACTTTCAGAAGTTCGTTGACAGGACTATCCAGCCAGCCCACCGCCATTAAATCTTGCTTTACTTCTTCGAGAGGTGGCATTCGTACTTTCGTTGTCTCAACGGCTTTTGAAAGCTCACATAACGGGCGCCACAGCCGCATTCCAACCAGAGAAGCCAAGACGTCCTGTCAATGATAGGAGGTTGTAAGACAAGAACAATAACATTGAAGTAAGGATGGCATGGACACAATCGTACCTTTCTCGACTTGGAGCTTCCATCAGCAAGGCCGTGGATGGCGAGCACCTGCTCAGCTGCAAATTAGCTCAAGGCAAATTGGACTGACAAAA